AACCTCAAAGCGACTTTCCCACATTCTCCACCCTACGTATATATATATATATATACATGTATATATATATATATATACATGTATATATATATATACACATGTATATATATATATATATAAATAACAGGCCACTCATCCATGGATCCACTGTTGCACACACATTCGAACAACGAAACCAAACTTGAGTTCTCTTGGGAAGCCAATTCGACATCGGAACTTAGGCCTTACTGGTAAACTTGATCAAAGCTCCTAGTTGACTGGGGTTCCTGTCAGGATTCCTGTCCGTCAAGGAGCTTGGACTGCTTGAGATGGAAACGCACCTGCTGCCTGCCAAGTCACGCGCAAACACACACCCACACACTGCCACACACCATGAGCCAGGATGACGGAAAACATGACATGTGGGTAGGGAGGAAGTGTTGTCCTGCAGCTTCTGGGATTCATTTCAAGAACCAGGTGGATTTGCAACCAGAGAGCCGAAGATTCTCTTCTGAGATCACTGCGCTGAAGGGTTTGGGGGTGGCAACATTGGACTTATTCGGTCTGGTTTGGAATAGATGTGTATTGCGAGACACCGAAGGTTTGTTTTACGCATCACCATCGGTATGCAGGATCGGGGCATGGGAGATGTCAGGTACTTTGGCTGTGCGACATAATGCTTTCTAGAGGTTCATGAGATTTACGATTGAAAGGTGAAGCGGGTGCTCTTCTGAAACAAACCGTTAAACGCCAAGTGGAAGAAAGAACTCCTTGTAGCAAGAAGTTCAATTCGTGGCACAACAGCCTCTGTCACTCTGTCAGTCGAGGACGAGGATGAGTGAAGACTCTGGCCCAGCAATGGTCGACAACGTCGCTTCATTAGCCAAGCCCTTCAGCTCACTCAGCCGCCCTCAGGCAGCCAGTGCTGTAGAACTCAAGTGTGCCTCCACCTTTCTGCCAGCCAAAGACGAAAAACGAATCACAGTCTCTTCAAGAGCCATCGCGTTCTCGAGCTCGGTGTGCCACTGCTGCCGATCGGCACCCATGCAGCGA